TCAAGGAGGGTCCCTCAAAGATTATACAGTGGCAAATAAAGGTCAAATGATAAAATACCTAAAATATGTTAATGATAACATAAACTGCTGCCCAGATGTTACTTTTCAAGTCCTTTTGCTTCCGTGCAAGAAATAAAAAGGTATTATGATTCTGCTCCATCTTTTAAAAAAGGAAAATCTCAGTTCGATTTCCTCATCTTTCCCTTGACTTTTGGGGAATTTATTCTGAAAACTTTTACCAATGAACTTGGCTCTGAATTCAGTCAACCAAGAATTGTCCCACACTGGTCACCCAGAGTCAGCTCATTCTCTTGATTAATGAGTAGTTGAATGAAATGAAAGATAGCGGGTATGGGCCTCAGAATCACCTGAGTGCATGGCGTTTCTTCCCAGTGATGCCCCCAGACCCTTCTCTGCCCTTGCTTACATTCATGCCCCATTGCATATGGATTAGCATTTGGACTCCTAACTTTTTCTTTGCTACCAAGATAGGAACTGACCATTCTGGCTGCAGAATGCGGAGTTTACATTCGACAGCAGGGGAGGAGAGCCATTTGGTAGACAGCAGGAGTCCTGTCTAGATTGTCTGGGGTTCCAGCCACTGCAGCCTTCCAACCTTCCATTTTGCCAGTTGTGTGCTCTGTGACTTAATCTGAGGGCTCTGCAGAATAACATCAAAGTCCAAGCCAGCAGTGCAGCTTGGGCATTCACAATTCTACCGGGCACATCCTGGACAAGAAGGTGCTTGCCCGGAACGCTCACGGGGAGCTCTCTTCTTTCCACTGGTTTGCACTGTGTGCTCTGTTGGCAGTTGGTAACAGCTTCATTACCTCCAGTGGCTGCTTATGGGGTAAAGTTTACTGGGCACGCATTGAACGTGGGCACGAGAGCAGTCCAGAGCCTAGAGCAGACTGTCTGTGTACAATCTAGGAGTTCACATTTGCTCAAAAATTATTATACCTCTACCTGGCCAGAATCATCCCGCATTTTGGGGAGACAGGCTAAAAAAGAACTTCTGCCCTATATGGGCGCCTGGAACGTCACTGCTTCTCTATTAGGATTCGTTTAAACCCAGAGGTATCTCCCACAGACCATTTAGACCTCTTATCTGATCATCCATTCTGGACGCAAGGTTGATTGACCGGGTCTGCCCGTGTCCATGGCAATGGTGTTTAAAACCAAGCACAGATCAAAGCTCAGAGGCGGGGTGGTGCGGGGGAAGGTTGTTGGTTATAGGGTCCGGGTTCTTTGCGCCCCAAGCGGTGTGTCCCGGAGGAGGGGCGTTGGGGCTGGGAGTTGCCACGATCTGAAGAAACCCATTGTCAGGGCTTGAATGATCTGAGCAAACCCGAGACCCCCACCCCCATTAACTCTAGCAAAAGGGTTTCGAGGCCAGGCGCTGACAAGGAGTGGCCAGCGCCAGGGGGCTCTGCTCTGTCTGAAACCGACAGGAAAGGAGGTGGAGGGAGGGCAGCGGGCATTGAGCACACGCCAGTAAACCAGAGTGTGGATCCCCTCCCCTTCTAGAGAAATTCAACCAGAGCCGCAGAAGCTGCGACAAGGATGAGCCGGATCCCCTAAGCTTGCCAGGAAAGCCGATTCCCACCCCACCCCCACGGTTCCCAGAGGAGCAGCGGGTTCATTCCACCTCCCCCCACCCCCCCGCCAGCCCCTGGACGTTGGCTCTGCGGGTGTCCCCCACCCAGCCGCCGGGCGCCTGGGACCCGGTTGGAAAAAACTGCGGTGCAGTCAGCCTGAGGCAAAGGGTGGGGGCAGCCGTTTAATCACCGCTCGCCTCGCCTCCATTAACCTGTGTTGATATTAAAAAGAAATCCGTCAGTGAAGATGGAGCAGCGGCCGTGAATGTTTCTTTTTCTCACGTGGAAAAGCAAGGAGCGAGGCGGCGGGGGAGGGGAGGCGGACCGCGCCGGCGACTGCAGGGGATTCTCCCGAGCAGAGAACCGCGGCGGCGACTTAACTTTCTGGCAGTGGGCAGCGTGGAGGAAATGCCGCAGGCCTCTCCCTGGGGGTGTCCTTAGTCAGGAGGAGGAGGGGACCAGGCTAGAGGAGTTGGAGGCGGCCAACTTCTCCGGGGCTCGAGCCTTGGTTTTGCCTTCGCTCGTAATATTTTTGCCTAATAGAATGTTTATGGATCGTGCGGCTGTGTTTCTGCTGCTCAGCCCAAACAAATCGATGCGGCGTTAGAGGCGGCGCCGAGGGGTGGGGCGGGCTGGGGGGCCACCGCGTCCCCACCACGTCCCCACCACGTCCCCACCACGTGGATGCCAGCACGCCGCGTGCTCTTCACCTGCTCAGGCGCACCGGCGGGCGCTGGGCGCTCCTAGAGGCAGTGTAAGTGGCGCGCGCTCCCGCGGCTAGAGCTGGCTCCTTTCCGCCCCTCTCCGCCCTGGGTTCCGAAATCCCACCCCGGCGTCCCGCCTCCCAGCTCGGCGGGCGTTCGGATCCCAGCCCCTCGGAGCCGGGCCTCCAGGGGCGGCGGGGGGAGGGGAGAGCTTCAGCGCTCGGCGGAGCGCGGGGGGCAGGAGGGGGCGCTCGGGGCAGGGCCCTCGGAGCGGCCCTGAGCCCCCGAGACAGGCAAGAGGGAGGCAGGTCGGCCCCGGGGCAGAGCGGAGGAGCCCGATGCGCGCAGCACGTGCGGGCTCCCGGCTGCGGGCCAGTGCGAGTCTGCCGCCGCGGCCGCAGGGTTATTTGCTCAGCTGCTCCCCCTCATGCACCTTCGCCTTCCCGCTCCCCTCACTCCTTCTCGGAACGGGTTCCCGCCGCCGCCGCCGCGGGCTGGGCTCAGCCCCCTCCCGGCAGGCGCGCGCCGGGTGAGTCAGAGGGCTAGCAGGGCCTCGCCCTTTACCCCCCGCTGCCAGCTCCCCGGGTGCCAGTCTGGTGCTGCGACAGGAAGCCGGAGCTGCCCGCGGGTTGCGATCGCTCTTGCAAGGGGCTGGAGAATATCCACCTAGGGCGGGTCCCAGCTCCGCGTCCCACGAGGTGGTTCCACCCCGGCAGTGAGGCTGCTGCGGCAGCGTCGTAGTGGACGACTTGTCCCGCGCACCGCGCCTCTGGGCTTCTCTAGAAGTGACGCAGCGCGGCCCCGGGCGACGGGGGAGGGGGCTCTGCAGAGAGCGCGAAAGGCAGGTGGCAGAGCGGGAGTGGGTTCGAGCGGGTGTCGCACACACACGTACACTTCGCGCAGAGCTCGGGGACAGATGTGCGAACATCTGGGGTAGGAGATGGCCCCTGAGTGTTCACGGCCCCTCCCGCGCCGCAGAGCACACATAACAAGTTGTGTGGTCTGCGTGTGTTTGTGTGTGTGTGTGTGCGCGCGCGCGAGCCGGTGTGTGCCTCAGTGTGCGCGCGCTCGCCAGGGCCTACTAGAGTCCGTGCCTGAATACATAATATACCGTGGGCATCTTCACCGCGTGCGCGCGCGCGCACACACACATACATACACATACACAGCGAATCACACAAACATACATAATTTATGCAGCATCTAGGTCTGTGGGAGGTAATTTAATTTCGCTTCAAGCTGGGAACTTAGAATTAAGGCAAGAGGGAATGGGGAGACACAGGAAATCTCCCCGAGTGGGACCTGCACCCATCTCTTTGATACGATTTGCAGCTGCCCTGAAGACCAGCTATGGCAGAGAAGGAGCAGCAAACGTGTGGATTTCCACAGCAAGGGCATTCCTCAGCCTTCCGTCCCTTCTAGTAAACACTCAACCTTAAATGGGGTGTGTTGGCGGTGAGAACCAGGGCACCAGGCACAACGCTTCCCCTTAGGCTCCCACAGGACCCACCAGCCCGCTGTGATGAGGGGCGGGAAGCATGCCCGGGGAGCTGCAAAGGGTTAGCTCCACCACTGCGGCCCTAGCCTTGGAGGTGCCTTCTGGGAAGGGCACTTCAGGGAGGCTTTATCTCCTCTTTCTCTTTTCCCTGTTTCCTCCCTAGATGGCTTCCCCATTCTCAATCACCTGTAGCAGCTTCCAAGAGTTTTGTCAGATTCCAGGCACTGTTCTCAGAGGGGAGAGAGGTTCACCCCGGAGAGCGGTGTGGGGAAGGAAGGACAAGCCCCACCAGATTCCCTGCAACCAGAAATCCCTTCTCAGGCAGGGTGCCCCTTGCCAGCCCTCTTCCCTGCTGCCAAATACTGGCCCCAGACTGCTCTGGGCCTTGCAGTTCTTATCTCTGCAGTCTGTCCACACACCCTTTTTGGCAGTGGTTGAGAACAAATTCCACTCAGAAGTTTCTAACCACTTCACAAGAGTAAGAGACCTTCGAAGGCCACGCAGTCTGTTTTATCTAATTCGAATTTTTCAAAGAACACGATTTACTTTCCCAGAAAACACATGGATGCAGGAAAGAGAGCAGGGCCAACCAGCAGTGCCCAGCTCAGCCCCAAGCCCCCAGCTCAGCCGCAGGCCAACTTACTCCATCAGCCAGAGCCCTAGAATTCTGAGGCGAATCCACACATTCGGCAAAGAATCCACAGTATTGGGAAACCAAAACTAGACTCTTGTCTTTCCCAAGCCCTTCAGTTAACATTGCTCAATGGAGCTAAGTGGAGAGAATGCAAATGATTTATATTTCACTGGCTAGGTTGAAGAAACTCAAGGGAGATGTGTTCTGCCTCAAGACAGGGGGAAAAATCCCAAAAACTGTAATGCAGAGGCTTTGTAGTATTTTTAAACCTTTGATTCAGTCCATATGTGACATCTGAACACCGCCAAATTCTGTCTATGTTTCAAAACACACACACACACACACACACACACACACACACACACACACACACACAGCTAGCAGGAGAGAAAAGTTGGGTTTTAGAAGAGGTGGTGGTATAGGGAGGGCCGGCTGGGATCTCTCTTTAAATTATCTAGTATTGAGGGAGCCTCCTTCTATGCCGTTCTGTGTGGCCAGTATGAGCGGTTGCTTTTAAAGGGAAAAGCATGTTGAAATGAACAGAAAAAAAACTTTTAGGGTCTTACCTGGTTGGCCTCTCACTTCGTGTCCTGAAAAGTAGAGAGCCAAGAAAACCCAGGTGAGAGGAAACATATCCATTTTGGAGAAGGAGGCTTTCTCCAGAGCTGGATTTGTAGATTTCTTGTATAATTTTAAGTCTTTCGTGTTTCTCTCTCTCTCTTACGTTCTTCCTTACAGTGTCTTCTGCAAAGGTTTCTAATGGTCAGTGTTTCCCTCCTGGGTCCTGACGGCCCGTCTTCACCTTTATTCTTGCTGGATTCTCACCTAAGAGGAGGGTGGCTCTTGAAATCAGCAAAGCGCGAGCAAGCCGGGAAGGGGGGACGGGTTTCCTCTCTTAAAAACAAAACGCATCTATGTCCTCTCCAGTTCCTCAAAGTATCATTTCCTTTATCCTACAACATCACGAAAATTTCCCGAAAGCCAAGCGTAAAAAAATAATGATAATAATAAAAATAAAAGCCCAGACTTGCTTTGGGCATCACACGGCCCCCAGGCAGCTGTGTGGTCTCAGAGGCGTAAACTGACACTCATCCCCCGGCACCCGGGACCGACACGCGGGCGGAGGCACCGACCGCCGGACGGCCCGAGTGGGAGAGGCGGCCGCCCAGCTCCTGCCGTCGCCGGGTTGCCCTAGCGGGAGCCTTCCCAACGACTACACCCGCTCGGCCAGCCTGCCGAGGGGAGTCCGAGGAAAGAAGCGGCGGCGGCGGCGGCGGCGGCTGCTGTTGCTGCTGCTGCTGGCGGGGCGGCGGCGGCTGGGATCGCCTGGGAGTGAGCGAGCCCCTCTCCGAGTTCGCTCGCGCCCGCCCTCACCTCCACCTCGCCCAGCGCCTCGCCGCGGTCTGCGCGTCGGAGGATGTGCCGGGGGCGGGCTGCGGGCTGGTGCCTCGCTCGCCTTCTCTGCTTCCCCTCCGGCTCCCCCCAGCCTTTTCAGGCCGAGCAGCATGTGGATGTCAGAGCCGCGGCAGAGCTATCCGATTACGCGCCGGCTCAGGGCCCGCCCCTTCTGTGTTCCTGATTAAAGAGGCAGCCGCGGAGACGAGCGGCGCACAGCTCAGCGCCGTGGCACCCGGCTCGGGCGGGGCGGCGGCGGTCCCCCCCGCCCCTGCAGCCGCGGCCCGATCAAAGTTGAGGCGGCTCCCACCCAGGCTCCCCTCTCCCACCCAGCCGCTTCTCTCTCCCACCCGGCACCTCTCGCCCGCCCCGGGCACCTCGGCGGCTGGCTGCGCCCGGCCGCCCGTGCGCACCGCCCCGGAGAGGGAGCGCCCCGGGCCACCTCCAGGGCGCATTGCCCTTGGCCGCGTTGTCCCCCCACCCCCACCCCCGAGGGAGACTCTGCAGGAAATGGGGGAAATCCCTGTTCCCCCATATTCCCTGCTTCCGAGGCCACACACGTAGAACCCAGCACAATGCCACGCGCAATGGCGTTACGGGAGGAGTTGGGTGGCGTACGGTGTTTGGTGTGGGGAACCAGGCGGCAGCTCGGCCTTGCGTTCGCACAGGCAGCAGTGCGTGGCGGCGGCACACACCGTCAGCCCCGGCTGAATAACACCCCAAACACTCGTGCGTTTACTGCTCAGATCCTTTGTTGTGTCCCAAACATACTCCTGTCTTCGCTCGCGGAGGATTTAGTTCTCTCTGCGCACCCAACTTGTAACTATCAGGAGAGAGACTTTCTGCAAAGAATTTCTTAAGGTAACTGAATTGAGGTCTCCCTAATCCTCCCCCAAAGTACAGGTACATGAAGGCTCCTCAAAACGCTACTGTAACTACCACCTTTTCCCCATGGAAATGTGGTCACAGCGCGCCGAGAAAGAAAACAGCATTATGCCAACTATTTTTAAACGGAGGTGTGAAAACTGTTTAGACGGAGTTGCAAGCTAACAGCTGGGGAAACACTTGTATCTTTGTTTCCGAGGATGGCTTTGTGGATCCCAAACTGTCTTGCTTCACTAAGCACCTATTACTACATTATCATAAAGACTCTAACAAGAACAGTCTAAATAACAGTCTGCATATACCTTCTCTGCCACTCTGCAGATTAAGAAAAATAAAGTTTCGGTGACAAGAAGCACACACACATCTGACTATCCTGTTTATTTCTTTGCTTGTACTTGCGGATTCTTCTGGGTGGTTTCCCTCCTTATCAGGACTTGCCATTAGCTTTGTTTATCACTTTTAGTGTTTGAAAAATTGTAACTCCCACTTAACTGTTATTTACACTGAGATAACCAAAACAAAATTGAATCAGAAGTGATTTGCAAATAGTTGAGCCAAGCCGTGGAGGGATTTTACAGTGCTGTGTAAACCCACTGGCCGCATATCACACTGTTCATCTTAGATGCCTGGTTTGAAAGGGCATTTAACAGAGGCCTGGTGAGTTCTTCCAGGGAGCATATCCCCTGGCTGGCCTAAAGGCTGCCTTTCATCCCTTCTCTCCCTCTTCCTCCTTTCCCTGGTTTGAGAGCACATCCACATTATTGAAAACTCCAGGTTTACTTTTTTTTCCCTGTTTAAACATCAGCTGCACAGAAAGATTGCCTCTCATCAATATTTAATGGAGTAAAGAGGCAGTCTGGATTTTGAACCCTCAGCAGAGATCCTGGCTTCTATCATTGCCAACATGCTAACCCAAGGACAAATAACACTATCTATAGTGACACAGCCTGAATAAAGAAAGCCATTTAGTATCAACCACCCCCACGACTCACCAGGTGTGCCCACCCAGTCTATCAAGTGTCCCACATGGAAGAATCTTATTTCTGGGAACATTACAGCCAGAGTTTAGGTGAAGGGTACAGGGAAGAGGAGAGAAAAAGTACACCGAGGCCCATTGGGAAACTATAAGAATGACAACTTTGGGCTTCTGCTCTTGGGGTTTTTGGGTTGAGGGTCCCCCATCAGGCTGCCTTGACGGTCCTATGTCACCTAAGGAGAAGGGTCAGTTCCAGTGTTCTGTTTCTGGACCTGATTCCCAGTATTACGGACTTTACTTGTTCAGAGGTGTCCTAAAGAGGGAGCTAACTTATTTCCCGGCAGTCCTTGGGACAAGTGCTGCAAGACATTCTCATCCATCCCTTTGAGTGATCTCCTGCCATTGGGTAGAGAGGGTGAGTCTGGTTCAGAGCCCTGGGGACTCCAAGCTGCCAGACCACTTGTAATCCTCTAGGGGGCAGCACTCAATAAATAATGCTAGGACTACCTGCAAGTAGCACTTTGGGAGGTGGTTTTACTTCCAGGAGCTAAAAGCCCTTTATCAGACCAGGGAAGATTCACAGTGACACGGGATCACCCCCAGAACACTGAACAAGGGCTCATGGGCCCAGGCAGGACTTAGAATTTCTTTAATCCAGGACTTCCAAGGACTCCCGGGAACTAAACAAAATTCCCATTTGTGCCTGATGGAAAATAAATCTTTTGGGAGATTCTCCAGCCTGGGACTGGCACAGACCTGCCAGCCCATTTTTGTCTAGACTTGGAATCTCGGGGGGGTGGGGGGGGTGGCTGCAGTTGGTTTGGTTTTGACCAGCGGTTCAGGGGTGAGGAGCCAGGCTCCATACTGTTCATTATTTTGGGAGCCCACACAGGAGCCTGCCTACCAGTAGACTAGTAGCATGGACAGAAACAATGGGCTTGTTAACAGAAATACAGAACTGACTAGAAAACAGCTAACTTAGGGAGGCTGAGATTCCTGGCAGCATCTCTGACTCACCTGGGACGTTTCACATCATTATCCTTAATTGTGAAATAATAATAGATAATCCCATCCTACATTCCATTCCTTTGACAGGACGGAATATAGGGAGCATAAAACAGATTTGTAAAAGATGGTAAGAGAAAGCTGTAGCCTAGCCACACCCCAGGGGAAAATGGGTGTGCCCAGCTAGACAGTCCCACCCTCAAGGTGCATCAGAATCACCCAGGGCAAGTGGTAAAAATTCACATCTCTGGGCACCATCTTCCTGCAGATCGGATTCCTCGGATCTAGGGTGGTGTCTGGGAGTCTCTATTTTTTTTAATTTATTTTTTAATGTTTATTCATTTTTGAGAGACAGGGCACAAGTCGCGGGGGGCTGGGGGTGCAGAGCAAGGGAGACATAGAATCCAAAGCAGGCTCCAGGCTCTGAGCTGTCAGCATAGAACCTGACGCAGGGCTGAACTCACTGCAAAATCATGACCAGAGCTGAAGTTGGATGCTTAACTGACTGAGCCATCTAGGCGCCGCTGGGAGTCTATTTTTAAACACTTTTTAGATGATTCTGATGCAAATGTTCAACAGGCCAGGAATTGAAAACCTCTCTTTTGAGATGTTGTATTTACACTTAGCCATATATATATATACTTCCATTGAGGGATACCCAGACAAGTATTTCTTCTCCGCATTTTTTTTCTCCAGGCACTTTTCAGATAGGGGGCAGGTGTTTCAAGGAAAACATAGGGAAAAGTCTCCAAGAGCATGTCTCTTAAAATGCCAGAGTGGTGGTATTTTCCACCTTTACCTTGTGACATTTATTCAGCAGCAACAGCAAAGAGCCTTTTGAAAACACCAAGAGCCTCCCCTTGTGGGGGCGGGAGGTTTGCAAGAACATGTCCAAGGTGCCAACTGATGAGGTTGATGAAGCTGGATCTAGCCCTTTCACCGCCAGCCCACTCCACCACTGCTTGGTACTAGAGTTTTGTTTCAGGTATGGTGTTCCATCTGCGTTCATCACATTGTACTTATTAAATGCTCACGGAAGCATGACTATGCACGAGGTGTGCAAGCAAATAAGACACTTGGGTCTTGTCTCCTGGGATTACAGGATCTAAAGGCTCCAGAAGTTTCATGCTTCCACAGTAGACACCACCTGTCACATGGTGGTTCCTCTTATGTGAGCCCTAACATCGACAAGCTCTCACCCTGAAAGGGGGAGATACGAGGCATAATTGCGTCTTAATCTGTAATTTACTACATCGCCCCAGTTAATATTTAGCTACATCTGTCTCAGAGGCAAAGCTTCAGTTAAAATGTAATAAGTCCTTGTTTTGTATTCTTGCTTTGGTTTGAACCCTGGTCAGCAGGTTTGTCTCCCACTCACCCTTTAAATGACGTTTTTATTTTATTCAATGCATTTGAATACTACCTCGTAATCAGTGCTTGATATTACCTTTGATGGGTTCCCAGAATCTTTACAGGTTTCTATGAAGTATCAAGAACCTCCTTCACTTCGAACTGTGTCTCTCCCATCTCTCTCAGACACAGACACAGACACTAGATCAGGTGGGAGGGGACCTTATGAATGAAAAACAAATGAGCAAAATGTACCAAATTCATTCAAATATCCCTGGAATCCTTGGCAAAGTGTTCCTCTACTCTGCTTGGCTTAGGCAAGAGTTGTGGCAGATCTCTCTCAACCACACTGATTTTTATACATCGGAGGCATTAGTACCGTCGACCCTTTCTTTAGAGCAGCGTTCTCCAACGAAACTTTCTGTAATGAAGGAGACACCTGTGCTTTTCCTATGGCTAATGAGCATTTGAAGCATTTCACACTAGCATTTGGCTAGCGTGAAGGCATAACTGAATTTTAAGTTGTACTTAACTTTGTTAAATACATTTCCGAGCCCCTCAAAAAATACAGATTCCATTTGTGTTCAACAGCTACCCCATTAGATAGCTCAGCTCTAGATGATCACATACCAGGGCTTGAGATTTCCTGCAGAAGCCCATAGACACCCATAGCCTTGTGAGTCTCTCGGGCAACTTCACTTGTTCACCAAAATGGGAATCCAAGCATCAGAAAAAGGATGATTTGAAAATGTTTGGTGTCTGTTTGGCAAAGAGGAAGAGGCTGGATCATATTATTATCTATCATCCTGTGCTCCGTCTGTG